TGCCATGTCAAAAATGATCTACTTTTCCAAAACAAGCAAACAAACAAACAGATCCTTAGTACCTCACCAAGTTATCGCTTCCATTTTGTAGATGAGAAAATTGAGGCTCAGTAACTTGTGCAGGGTCTCTTGGCCACTGGATTGTTCTGTCTCTTGCCCTAGAAGTAGAAGGTGTTAGGTAGACAAAGGGAAAAGAATACAATTCCCCATGTGACCTTGCGCAAGGAAGGCCCTCCTCTTTGGGGCCTCAGTTTCCCCTTCTGTAAAATGAGGCAAATGTTTGAATCTTTGTAGTCCCAGTGTTATGGGGTGCTTTGAACATTTCAGTGAACATAAGACTTCTGGAACTCGCAAGTCTGATGCCTTCCGTTGTCCATTCTGTGGGGATAAATGTGTATTTCTGTTTGTTTTAATAACATTTGTAGGAGCTTTATATAGTGTCTATGTCTGCTTACATTAGACGCTGTGTATTATAGTTAAGAGTCTTTCACTATTTCCCATATAAACCTTGTTTTTTATGGGTTTGGGAGAGCTCAGCTGTAAAACTCTCTCAGCTAAAAAAAAAAAAAAAAAAAAAATTCAAACAAATTCGGTTTAAATCAGGAGACTGGTTTCAAACACTTCAGAGCCTGCATATTTTTTCTTCCCAGTCACTTTTCATTTAAAAATGAGATTGGCTGATTTCTTAGTTTCGTTTCTTTTATGAGGATTTAGCAAGACCATAAGCTTAACTGCTGGTTGCATGAAGAGAAAGGATCCATAGCCTTTTTCAAGAGAGCCCTGTGTCTGAAGTCTCCAGGCTGCCTTCTAATCCCTTGACTGGCTGTGTAACCCTGAGCTGGTCACTTCACCTCTCTGGGTTTTCCTTTCTCCTTCTGTCCATGAAGAGCCATAATCCCTGCCTTGCTTCCTTCTAGTTTCTGGGGAGGAAAATGTGCTGAGAGAAGTGAAAGTACTATACCAAGGAAAGGTGAATGCACTACACAAACATCAGACAGAGGCTGTTGCAAAGAATAACATGCTGAGTTTTGTCCACCAGCAGAAAGTTGATTCCTAGAGTCAGTGTTACAGCCAAGAAAGAACCTAGAGGTCAAAGAGCTCACCCCTGTCCTCACTGTATAGATGGATCCACTCTGAGTGGGGACAGAGGAAGAGGGTTCCAGATGAAGGCTAGAGTTACAATCCCAGGTCCCTTCACAAAACCCCTTGTTTCTTTCTCTACCTTACTTTACCAAGGAAGATCAGACTAAGAGACTGTATTTGCACACACGTACACACACACACATATATCCTGGAGGTGCTCTGAAATGTGGGGAAAAGCCAGGTCTCTGAAGACAGCAATACCCACCCTTTGACCCAAGCTCTATCAGCCTTTACCCTCTATGTGACCTTGAACAAAGTCCTTCACCTCTCTGAGCCTCAGCTGCCTCAGTGTTAACCTCACACAGTCCTCATTAGGCTTAAGTGAAATAATGCATGCCAAGGGCTTACATAATTTCCCTCACAAATTTTAGCTGTTGTTATTATTTCTAAATGTGAGGGAAAAGACTGTATGTAGTGCGTAGGAGGAAAAATCAACTCTTCTAGACATTTACTATTGTCTGTTAACTGGTGGTGGCGAGGATACGGACCCTTTCTTGATCATTCTAATTATACCCACAGCGAGGCACTGTGGGTGTAAATTAAGTGGGTGCTCAATTAACGTGTATTGGCTCACCAGTGCACTGAGACTACACTGGGCATAGGAGAAATTAGAAGGAAATTGCAGCTTGCTTTTTTATTGTAAAACTAATTCTTATTCATAGAAAAAAAGAGCTAAGCAGGAGGAAAAGTCGAAATGACCCTTATTCCCTGAACTCAGAGGTAGAGGTGTAGATGTCTTCATGGATGTTCTCCCACTTTCCCCCCATGAATGATATTTATTCATGCATCCACTCATTTTCACATAAAGGAGGTCAGGACGGACAGTCTTCAGTAACCTGGAAGGGGTTTTTCCCCCTCCACTTAATATATCATGAACAATCTCCATGTCAGCTCTCGCTTTTTCCCCCGGTGGCTGAGTGGTAGCCCACGGTACTGATGGATTTCTCTGACCAGTTATAATTCTGTAATTATAGCACATCTGGGTCCTTTCCTATTTTTCCCTCCTTAGACTAGTCCTGTAGTTAAAGGTTTGTAGCGCCAATGAGTATTTCCTTACGAGAAATTCCCGGAATGTACCTTTAAGTTCGTGACCATTCCATCCCCCCCCCCC